CTGCAACCCACTAAAGCCAAATGCGGGTCTGCGATCGTCATGGATGCCCGTAAGTCTTGCGTGGCATGTCGCACCCGCGGCAAGCATGCCACCTACACTGCACTTCTCTGCCACAGTGCCTTCACTTGCGCAAGCAGCACACCGCTGACAATTGAAGGGTTGGCCTCTGTCTCGGTGGCACCGTAACTGAGTTGTGGAAATCTCTGCAGATTGACGTTGAGCAAATGTCCACAAGATGGTGGTTTTGACTTTCTGCACTCGCATTTTGCGATCTTCCTGCACAGCTTGGTGCGGCATGGGCGCCTGGTAGTTTCAATGACTTATTGACTCATGACAAAAACATGACTCATGACTTTTCACTCATGACTTCCATGTCTTTGCACTTTCGTTTGATGTGGTTTAATGGTAGGTGCGCCTCATCTCTCTTTGAATCTCATTGCTCTAGCTTACTGGGGCGCTGTTGCGTCGAAGAAGCAGTGGAGGAAAAAAAATGACTCATGACTTCCACAAAATACATTCTGTTTTTTTTGAACGTCGCGTTTTTTCTAATATTTTTTAAGATTTTCAATATGTTAAATTTTGATCCAAAGCAAGCCGGTTGGCTTAGTTTCAAAAAGTTTGTATGGATCATCTTGTTCATTTTGTTGACAATGTTTCTTAAACAAGGAAAAATTGAACAAAAAGCAATTAATGTTTTTTTTTTTTATTTTTGTTTTTCGCAAGTTTTTGTTCAGAGCGATTCTGTTTCCAAACAAGGCATTCCAAAATTATTATTCATATTGCAGACTTTGAAATGCTTCGAAACCAGTTTTTTTCTGTGTTTTAAACGTTTTTTCATGTTTGAAATTTTAAAAACAATTTGCTTTAAAAAACGTAACAAAAGAGCATCTCCAATTTGCATCTCAAGTGTGGTGTGGCCTGCATGTGTCAAGCCAGGACAGCTGAAAAACACAGACCCAGTTCTTTGAAGTTCTGTTTCATTGCTGGTGGTTTTGTTTCAGCCTTTTCTGCAAACAGCAAAAAAATGCACGTCAAGCCAAACAGCAGAAAAGAAAGATGGGCTGAGTTTGAAGTCTTGGCTGGATTCGACGCGAACAAAGCTGAAAGGAAACCAAGGCAGTTTTTCATTGTTCATGACCTGTGTTTGTGGCCGATGGGTTGCGGCGGCCGCAATGACTCACGTGACTGCCGTGACTGTGGCTGTGACTGTGACTGATTCATGGTTCCTGATTCATGATGATCTCATGACTCATGACTCATGACTCGTGGCTCATCATGATCTCATGTCATGAGTCATGACTGAATGAATGATTGATGACTGATGATTGATGATTCATACTTCACAATGCATAATGATTCATGATGCGATGCGATGATGCGATTATGATTGATAACACGAAGGAGCAATGGACTGGCTTCGACGTCTGTTTGTCGGTTCAAACCGAGTACCTTTGAGCCTAAAAACCCGACCCTCAAACCTGAAAATAAACCCTGGACACTTAGCTCCGTCGTAGGTAATGGGGCCATGTAATCCATGTGGCCCCCTGATTTGATGCCAAGCAGAGAGTGCTTCGCACCCCCATTTTGCCGTCAGGCAAAAAACCCAAGTTAGCATAAATTTTCTTTTACAGTCCGTGAAGTGCGGCCAAGTTTCTCTTAAGAAATGTTTCCAAGTTACAGAAGTTAAAGATGGCCTGCTGCCAGCCGCAGTCCAGTTCGTCCAGCTGGAAAAAGTTGAAGCTTGAGCTGGAAGCTACAGCGGTTTTGGCCAGCTTCCTTCTTTGGAGGTGCTACGCTTTTTGTCCATAAGTGCGCATTCTTTGGAGTGTGCTGGAAGCAGTGTTTGGCTGGAACTTTGAATCGAGAGCTTCTTGGCTCAGGGGCAACTGTGCGGCCTCTTGAACCACTGCCACAGTTGCAACGCCATCTTAGCATCATGCCTGCTGTTGGTGGTGTTGTGCGTTTTAAAAAGTGCAAGAACAAGCCTTAGCTAAGTTACTTACGGGGTAGAGCGGCAAAGAAGGCAATGTTCTTGCGTTGTCTTGGCGGGAGGCACGCTAGTGGAGGGTGTTGCACCTGCAGATGTCACCTTGACCGCTCTGAGTGACGTTAAGCCCCGAGCGTAAGAGAGCTGGACTCAACTTTAGGGAAATTGCGGAAGCAAAGAAGCACTTGGCTTCTGCGCGTGCGCAGTCCCCTTTCAGCTTAGCGCAAAGGCAATTCTGCGGCGTCGTCAGAGCCGCCGTCGGGAACCTTGAGTTTTCAACTTAGACGGCCAGTCAGCTGCAGATTGTAAAGAGAGCCGTGGCTGAAGACTCTTATGCCAGGGTCTCGAAGAAGCAGAATCAAATCCTATTGCAAGTGGATCTTTTTGGCGAGCCCTTGGAGGATCGAGTGGTTGTTATGTTGGAAGCCCTCCCAGTCCGAAGCAGGTTTTTACAGCAGCGAAAACAATTGCATTAACTTCGTTGGCAAAGCTAGGCAAATTCAAGATAAGATTCGAGTGTTGCAAATATTTTCACAGAAGCGATTTGCCCAGCAACATGTGGTTGTGGAGGCCCTTTTCCGAAGTCAAAGCAATTGCGGGTTTTTCGTGTGTGCCTAAGAAAGACGGGGCGAGAAGCCGGGCCTGAAGGCTGCAGTGTGTGACCAGTCAAATGCCTTCACGAGTGTGCTCGTGCCTAAGTGGATGGTCTTGTACCAGGCAGTCCCTCCGATCCCGGCGGGTGATGTTTGGGAGCTTCTGCTTCAGCATCTTCGTGAATCTTCGTCGGTATTTGATTGGGTATGTCCTTGCTACATGCGCTTGCCTATGGGGTGCAGTCACTCCGTCCATATCCTGATGAGTATAAATCTGCGTATTATTGGCATGACTTTGTCTTCAAGCCGTCTTCTGTCGCGTATCCCTGCCTCAGGTCAGTTTGCCGCGGAGGACTACGACACCGAGCAGAGGCCCCCTACATTCATTTCGGATGTTCGGATTCTGAATGGTGGGAGCGCTTTGGCTCGCGAGGTTCCTCTCGGGCTGAAGCAGGTTTTTCGGTTGAGGAGTGGTGGCAGGCCATACGCAAGGCCCGTCGTGCTCCGCACCGAGTGTTTGTGATTATGCACCTGTTCGGAGGGGAGCGTCGCTCGGGAGATATCCATTTCTTTGTCGAGAGCCTCGCCGAGGAAGCGGGACTCACAGTGCTTGTGGCTACAGTCGACCTAGCGACTGATCATCGCTGGGATCTTGCACGGGAAGATACGCAGCATGAGCTCTTGGGGATGATGTCAGGTTTCGTTGATCTCCTGGTGCTGGGCCCACCTTGCTCCACAGTATCTAGGGCCAGGCACGTCAGCAACAGTTTAGGAGTCAGGCCTGTTCGTTTCCGTGACTGTTTCTGGGGCAGGCCTGATTTGAGCCGGTTTCAGACTTACCCTCCAGGTATGTGCGGCTCATTGCGGAGTGCTTGATTGCAACATGCAAGGAGTGGCAGAGCTCCGGTGACGGGCCAACAGGCTTCTTTGCGAGGGGCCCTCGAGCGCCTTTGGCTCCCTGGTCGGTAAGTGCCTCAGCCGACCGTCGAGGAGTCAAGATTTTGAACGAAGCCGTTGAGGATCATGTTCGCGTGCTGCTCGGGGATGATCAAATAGGCCTCTACCTGCACGTGGATGACACGCTGCTCTTAGGTGTAGGAGAATGTGCCAGGTTGACGGGCCCGCTGATGGAAGAGATTGCTGACAACATGGAGGCTGCAGGTTTCCGAGTACCCGATCGCAGATCGGGAGATGAGATTGCAAAAGTGGTAGGCTACGAGATTGATGCGCAGAAGGGTGAGTTTTCACTGCCTCGGAAGAAGGCTCGCTTGCTGCAGGCTGCTCTTCTTGAGTTGGCAAGTGCCCGGTTCGTGTGTGTCGATTTGCTCAGGGCTCTGGTCGGGATCTGGAGTTTCGGTGCACAGCTTAAAAGAGAGCTCTATTCCATCCCATTTTCGGTTTACCACATGATCGACATTTGTGAGGGCCAGTTCGTGAGACTGTGGCCATCGGTGAGGCGAGAGCTCACTTTTTTTTCACTTCAGCTCGCAGCAGAGGGTCGTCCGCTTAGCGAAGGGCACACGGTTTCGTGCGGCAGCTGGGCTGCGTGACTTATTGTCACCCGTCCTACTTAGTCGCTCCTAAGAGCCCATGATGCACTAAGCCAAACTGTTTGCAAAGGCGAAACGCACCAAAACTGAAAAGACTGTGCTACTGTACCGGACGCAAGAACAGAACGTAAGCATTCCTAAGCAAAGTATCCGCATCTCTAGCTATGGGGGGCCTGGCAACATCACCATCATCTGTCCACCACATCCGGCCAGAGTCTTCTACCAAGAGCGCCCGGTAGTGGCCACTACGCGGAGTGCTACCAAGGTGAACTATAGCGGCACTAAGTCTGTACTCTCTACGGCTCAGGGAACCTTCAACTCAACATGGGAGGTGAACACGAAGGGGAAGCGACACTGCCACGTGGAGCTTTCTCACTACGCGTCCCTCAGTGCAGAAACGGTTCAGCTGCAGAGCCACACAGGTTGTGCCTGCAGCAAAGGCAGGACAAGCAGGGCTGTTGTGCCACTGATCTATGACGCCTTGCAGTGGGTAGATCCCTCTCACAACAGGGAGACTGCGGACGTCGCAGCTTAATGTGACAGGGCACACACTTCCACAGTCCCGCAAGCAGCCCCCTGAAAGAACTGCCCAGGCTCCTTGAAAATGACGCAAGTCTGCTGCCTGGAACAGGTGGCTGAGGAAATCTGCAGCGTCTTGTTGACGCCCACTGTGAGGCCAAAACCTCAGGCACCGCCGCCAGAGCGGCCTACTCCAAATGTGAACCGGAGCGCACGAGCTGAGACAGTTGCTGAGATCTGCATGAAGCTGCTCCCTCATGCTGTCCTGAGATGGCTGAAAAAGGGCAGATGTCCACGCGCAGGCCAACAGAGTGGAGTTGGCGTAGCACTCATTATCCCTGTTTAGGAGCACTATACGTCTGAACTGGAGACAAGTGACAGCTGTCGCAGATCCTGCGTGACTGACTGGGCCAGCTGGGACCGAGAGCGGCGCTCTTTGCGGAGAGTTGTGGCGACTAACATCAGTGCTGCATTGCCCGACAGTGTGTCTATGATGCTCCACATCCTGAACGACTTTGGCTCTCTGAGCCCCAGCACCAGCGCAAAGGTCACTGTGGGCCCTGACATCTCCGGCAGTAGCTTCCGTGTGGAGTGGTAGTTCACCAGCACACCGTCCACTGTGCTGAGAACTATGGCCTCCTCCAGAAGTCCAATCACCTCTCGCAGGGAGAGCGGGGCCTTCGTGTCCACATCTTCCAAGGCGCGAAGGCGCTTGTACTTGAGGATGTCTGGCTCGGTCAGGGCCTGGAGACGAACCGCCTCCTGACGGCTGGCTGGGTCTGTGATGAGAGCCTCTAGCCTGGTCTTGAGCTCGGACGCCCACGTCTGAAAGAGGATTGTTCGCAGAGGAAGCTTGATGGACTCCGGGGACTCCTCCTTCATATTGTGCCATTGCTCGGCCACTTTGGCCTGCGCTGCAATTGTGCTGAGAGGCGGGGCCGTGCCTTCGAACATCACCCACGACGTGCTCTGCGCCAGACCCGTCAAGAAGTCCTCGTGCCGGAGGACCAGCTGTACTACTTTGCCGACAAGCGCCGCTGAGGCCGGTTTGGAAGAGGGTTGACTGCCTGAGGTTCCTGCAGGAAAGGGTTGCAGCTTGGCCGGACGTGCGCTGGGCCCTTTCCCACGGTCTGGCCCCTTCCCGTTGGGGCGGGTGTACTTCGAGGGCTGGCCGTGCTCGCGCGCAGTCGTGGGGGCGGTCGACGGGAGGGCCGTCAGTGAAACCTCCGGGGTCGGAGGAGCTGCTGGGAGTCCTGAGCTGGTAGATCTCGTGGGCTGAAACGCCCCGAAGTTGGCCCCCTGAAGCGCCATTGTCTGGAGGTGTTGGAGCTCTGCTGCAGCCTCCAAGAGGTCGTCTCGTGAAACTCCTTCGAGGTCCATCTGGCAGAGCCTGAGGATGGTGCAACAGGACAGCAAGCTTCGAGAAAACTATCATGGGACAGACTGCGGCATGCTTTGTCTGGTGGCACCTGAAGCGAAGCTCGCAGTACCGGCACGGTGAGCACAGGGCCAGACCTCTACGATGGCTCTTGGTGTGGCTGCGGGCAGTGTTCAGCAGAGGAAGAGCCCATCCATGAAAAGCTTTCAGGTGTTGAGTGAGACCTCTGGCCCGCACGAGACCCTGATTGCAGATCGGACAAAACCGATAGCACTTGTCCCTAGCAGTCCGCAAGTGTTTGGCCACTTTTTCCCACCCACAGGCGGTGAGAGGAGTCACAGCGCCATCCCAATAGACCCCTAGCTCGTTAAGAGGCAGGGGAGCATCTGCCTGATCGGCAGCATTAGGAAACAAGACAGAGCAGGCCTTTGAGAAGATATGCACTTTCAAGTCATCCCACGTGTTACACACTCTCTGACAGTGCCTACATACACAGAGACCTTGCTGCGAGTGCAGCCACACAAACCTTGTCTGCGGGTCTGCGGACTGCAGTGCTTCAGGCAGGCCCTGACTCAGGAGAGCAGCTTGGGCATGCACCTGCACACTTCGGCGGGCTTGCGCAGGCTTGCAGCCATCTGTTCTGGCGGCAGAGGCTGGGGGCGGGTGTTCAGGAAGACCCTTTTCAGCAGGTGTGGTGTTTTCTGCGCTATTCAGGCTTTTGACCTCCCGTTTGTGCGCATGAGCAGCATGAAGTCTGAGAGCTCCGAGGGAGTCAAAGTGTCTACTGCATACCTGGCAGACTAGGTGTCTGTAGGAGTGCACGTTTCTGGCGTCGCGCTGGTCACGAACGCGCTGCGCAACGACTGCCTGTGGAGTGTGATTGACAAGAGTGTGAGGGTGGGGGCCTGCGGCTAAGCCCGTGCAAGTCTCTGCTGCAAAGGTGTGGTTCAAGCAAAGAAGCCAAGGAGCTACCTCTTTCAGCCCTGTCAGGAGAGCCGGCCTTTGCTGCAAAGCGTGGTATTGTTCGCACAGAGTGCTCCAGGGATCCCGCACCTGAAGTCGCTGGAGTATGTCTTGAGTTGTCACATGCCAGAGATGCGCAGGTGATCTGGCAATGAGGCGCAATTGACGATGCACAGCATGTCGAATCATGCTGGGGCCCTGGGCTGGCAAGCCCACGCTGTGCAGAGAGTACCTGAGGACACTGAAAACACAGGCTTGCCACAGTCTGACGCGAGTTGATAAGCTCAGCGATCTATGTATCAGGATGTGGTGCAGTCTCCAAAAGCAGCCCCAAGCGGTATTCAATCTATGTTTGAGATTGAGCAACTCAAAGCCCCGGTACGACACCTTGGCTCCTAGGTACTTGTGCGAAGAGACGATTTTAAAGGCCAGTTTGTCCCTACCCACAGGGATTTGCAGATGTGGGACGTTGTCGATTTGGGCCTTATATTTGCTCAGCAAGGAAGGGGAGCTCGTGCCTGCGATAGCCAACAGAACGACTGTCTTTTCCATACTAAGCTGAAGCCCGACCTGTTGGAGGGTGTGCACTAGGACTCCAATGGCCCGAATGGCTTTCTTGAAGGCCTCAGGACTCTTGAAGACCCAACTCCCAAACACATCATCTGCAAACATGTTGGTGAGGCCCTCAGATAAACCCTGGTTTTTGAGAGCTGTGAGGTAGAGTCGGTAAAATCTACCTGTAGCTAAAGACCAGAGCAATGGCGACAAGGAGCACCCCTGGCGCACGCCAGTGCCGAGGAATATTTGCGCAGAATCGCGGTGGGAGCCAACACAGAGGCAGGCCTGACTGTGCAAATGCAAAATTAGGTCGATTTCAGTGTGCTCAAATTCTGCGTCTCTCATCGCCTCAGCTAGAAATGCATGGCTCAGGCTGTCAAAGGCCTTTTTGACATCCAGACTGATGGAAACGCCGCCTATTACCTGGTGCCTCTCGCATCCCTGGAAACGCTGTGGCAACGATCGAGTTTGACTGGCAAGCAGCTCTCTAACTTGATGCATGTGCGCGCACACAGCAGTGAGAGCGTCCGAAGTCGATCGCCCCTGAAGGTACGCCCATTGAGGTACATGTGTGAGGTATGCTAGCACCTTATCCTGCACTTTGTCAGCTATCATAGTAGCAAGCAACTTGTTGGCGGGATGCAACAGTGCTATGGGTCTCAAGTTTTTGGGCTCTTTGACTAGCTGAACTTTAGGTATAAGATGCAGTTGCACGCGGTGCCAGCTGGCCTCCAAGGCTGAGGCAGTGACATTCATGGCCGGCAGCAGGGCCCTCACCACCTGTGTTGGAGCAAGTTTCCACAGTCTTGCAGGAACAAAACCGGCGGGGAGGGCTTTACCTGCACCTAGCTTGTTGAGCGCCTGTATTAAGTCTGCCTCTTCAAACTTCATGCCCGTGAACGGTGGCTCCCGTGGGGCAGCAGTGGTGTCGGTACTATGATACACCGTACGTAGGTAGGCAGCTATGTGTTCCGATTCTTCGGCTCCCGCTAGAAGCCTGCCGTCTTTGTCGCGCAGCTGCACGCGCATGGTGCGGGATTTCGGAGCAAGCCGTCTCACAACACTGAAGATGGCGGACGGGTGTCTGGATGACTCCGCTTCTTGAAGGAGCGCACTCACCCTCTCTCGTTTCTTGTCTTTGCAGGCCTGCCGAAGCAGGCGTTGGACCCTGCGGGCCGCCTGGAGCCAACCTCGAAGGACTGAGAAAGTCCGAGGGGGCAGTTGCGCACGCTGCCGTCTCAACTCCCAAAGCCGTCGAACGAGACCTACCGCCCTATGTTCTGGAGCCCTTGTCGAAGGTGGTCTAGGGGGGCAAACATTTTGCCAGGCTTGATGGAGCACCTTGTTGAGAGCAGCAGCTGGGTCCCCAACCAAGCAGGGCGGCATGAGAGCGCCAGCTTGACGACTGAAGCGATCAGCGAGCTTGGTGTCCTCCTGCAAACTCAGGGCCACAACTTTAGCAGTGAGGGTGGTACGTTTTGGCTTGCTCTGCCGGGGCGAGGCGAGAGCTCGTTGCCATGTCCAGGGCAGTGGACTTTATGGTGTTGCCGGCATCGGACCCAGTCAGCAGAGTGGTGTTCGCGACGGATGCCATGGGGGCTGATGATGTCGACTGCGGGGGTTTTGGAATTTGCATGGCTCAGGCTACTTCGGAGGAGTTCGCAGCCCTGATGTGGGCCGGTGAAGCGCCGGGTTTTGCCATCTCCGAACAAGACCGAGGGTTGAGGGGCTTACGTAGTCCTGCAAACATGGTCAGGTTTACTCGCCCCTTTTCGAGGTTGCCTCGGACTTTGTTTGAAGAGAGTAGATGGACAGAGTTGCAAGCGGGCCGCTGGCAGACGGCCGACCACATCACCATAGGTGAAGCCAGGGCTGTCACAAAGTGCTTGGAACTGGTTTGTCAGTGGCCTTCTGCGCATGATCACGTTTTCTTTGCCTTGCAAGACAACCGTCCGTGCGCGAGTGCAATGACCAAAGGGAGGTCGTCTTCATGGGGTTTGAATTTTTTCTTGAGGCGAAGGGCAGCACTTGGCATCGCATGTGGACTGCGCTTCATTTTCTCATGGTGCCAGTCTGCGCTCATGCCGGCTGATCGGGCTTCAAGACGCCGGGGGGAGTAGCTGCTGCGACCAGGGCCCGGGGAAGGGCTCAGGGTATGCGCCACTTCCGGCCACAGAGGCTCGACCCGCTTCATGTGAACTCCGTCTTGACTGACACTTACGAGCGCTACCAAAGGGCGGTCGAGAAATTTGAGATTTTCCTGCTTCTGAACGACGCGGTTCCTTCTTCAGCTGCTGAGCTTGACGAGTGGCTCGTCCTTTTCCGCCGGGAGGCCTCCTTGACACGTTCTCAGTTCGAGGTCACCTTGGCGGGCATCCAGTTTGTGGCTCCGCGCTTAAAGGGAAAGTTGCCCCTTGCAAAGAAAGTGGTCAAAGGACTGACGATCGAGTACCCCGCCAAACATGCTTTCCCGATGTTGTCTCGCTCGGCTAGGTTCATTGCAAGTAAGATGGCAGCTGGAAGGGAGCATCGTTTGGGTGTGTGTATGCTATTGCAACAGGCGACAGGGCTTCGGCCTTCTGAAATGCTGGGTCTGCGCGAGCATGACATTATTAGACCCAGTGAGTTCGTGCCTCGCTATGTCCTTCGCCTTGGCACCAACGTGGGCACCAAGGTGGGGAGGGAACAGACCGCGTTCTTTGACCCCGAACAGGACCCGGTGCTCGCAATGCTTTTGTTTAGGCTGCTGCGCTCGACGCCGGAACAGGGGCAGCTGGCTGCTTGCGGTTATGATCATTATCGGAGGGTGCTCGCTCGTCACAGTGCTTGTTTGGGAGTGCTTTATTCCCCTCATTCCTGCAGGGCCGGCTTCGCAACAGAGGCCATCATCAAAGGCGAGGCGCCCACTCTCGTGCAGAGGCGCGGCCGGTGGGCTTCGGAAGCGAGTTTCCTTGTGTACATTGACGTGGCAACTGCTTTGCAAGTGGAGGCTGAGTTTCGCAGCCGTGCTTTGGATTCGGAGATTGACGCAGCCTCCCGGAACTTGTTGGCCTACTTTCCAAAGGGCTGCTTCGCGGTGGCAGCCGATGGGACTCCCAGACACCGTGGCGATCGTCGATGCTTCGGAGGAAGAGGATTCGGAGTACAGGCCGAACTCGCCTGTGCCAACGGTGAGGCACCGGAGCGTGCGCACCATGACGCCGCCGCCCCGAGTGCTTCCGGCCCGCCGAGACGGTCGTCGGCCCAGACTCGACGGCGCCTCGGTTCTCACTCCCGAGGTGCGCGCTCAGCTACAGGGACGTGGTTTGGTGGCTGGTGCACGACGCAAACCGGTGTCGTGGTTCTGCTGGGCGTGGCGTTCCTGCAGCAAGGGACTGGCGCGTCTTCGCATGTTGGTCCTTTGGGGAAGCTTGGCCTACGTCCTCGCGGCCGGGCCAATGCGAGAGCTTTTGCTACCAGTACAGAGTCTACTGGCGTCAACGGCGCAGGCTGCGGCTGGGGCACTCTCGTCCATCCTGGATGGTGGGATTCGGTTAACACTTTGAGCGTGGCGCAGGCTGCTTGGGTTGGTGTGGACCTTGTCGGCATGAACGCCACCCAGGTGGTTGGGCGAGTGCTGGGCGAGACATCTGAAACCATCGAGCTTTGGCTTTTCTCTGCGCAGGGCCGTGAGGTGCTTCGGGATCCTTCACACGAAGCTCTTGTTTTTTGGCGAGGTCTCCTGCAGTCGCAAACCTTTCTCCTCCCGGTGGTCGCGGCCGAAACCGAAGCTTTAGTAGCTTCGGGTGACTACTGGGCGGCCTCGGCGGTTGTTTCCTTCGCCTCGAGCGGCCTCGTCGTCTTCGAGTTTCGGATGCTTCGCATGCATTTCTCGCCGCGCTGGGCTAACCCCGTGTGGCAGTTCGGTGGCTGGAGTGCGGAGGATGAGTATGACCAGATTCTCCGTATTGCTCGCGATTTTGCCTCCACGGTGCCGACTGCCAACCACACATGGGATCATGTTCTGGCCCCCCCGCCCTCCTCTGCTCGCTGGCCTGTTGTCGCCGGCTTCCTTCGCCGCTCGGGCGCGTTGCTATGGGCCCCCTTTCGGGCTTGCTGGCGCTTCGGAGCTTCCATGTGGGAGTATGGGACCATGCATCCGCTGGCGTTCGCTGGCCTGTTGCTGGTGGCCACAGGCTACTGCATATGGGCGTGGCGCTTCAAGACCTTGGCGAGTCTACCAACCGGTGGGCATGTCAAATGGGCCAGTTTGGTGGAGCTCATGTTGCTTATGCGAGGCTGGCTCTTGGTGGGAGCTGGCGCTCTAGCACAGCAACTTCGCTATTGAGTCCAGAGGGGGTGTGGGTTTTCACCTTGAGCAGCTCGACGCAGTCAGCACAGGCTTCTCTTAGGAGCGAACCGGACTGCTTTGAAGAGCTGCTACCGCCATCATGTCTGAGATGACTTCGATGGCCTATCATATGCCAAATGTGCCAGGCGGAAACGCCTAACTGGATTTACTATGCTGGCTCCTAGCAAAACAGCGTATTGCATGGTCGCTCGAGTGGGGCGCTCTGCACTGCACTTTGCAAGCACGCGTCATGGGCTGGGAACTCGCTGTGTCGTTTTCATGCTTTTTGCGGACATATGAGCATTATTGTTGAGTGAGCTGAGCGCACGGAGTTTAATGTACAGTCCACAAATGTTAGCATGAATTTTCTTTTGCAGCTTGGAGGAGTTTTGTCGTAGACAGGGAGGGCTTACAGTGCTTTGTGCTTGCTTGTTTTGTCCGTGAAGTGCGGCGGCCAAGTTTTCTCTCGAGGCCCGCCCGCCCTCCCTGGGTTTTCACCTTGAGCAGCTCGACGCAGTCAGCACAGGCTTCTCTTAGGAGCGAACCGGACTGCTTTGAAGAGCTGCTACCGCCATCATGTCTGAGATGACTTCGATGGCCTATCATATGCCAAATGTGCCAGGCGGAAACGCCTAACTGGATTTACTATGCTGGCTCCTAGCAAAACAGCGTATTGCATGGTCGCTCGAGTGGGGCGCTCTGCACTGCACTTTGCAAGCACGCGTCATGGGCTGGGAACTCGCTGTGTCGTTTTCATGCTTTTTGCGGACATATGAGCATTATTGTTGAGTGAGCTGAGCGCACGGAGTTTAATGTACAGTCCACAAATGTTAGCATGAATTTTCTTTTGCAGCTTGGAGGAGTTTTGTCGTAGACAGGGAGGGCTTACAGTGCTTTGTGCTTGCTTGTTTTGTCCGTGAAGTGCGGCGGCCAAGTTTTCTCTCGAGGCCCGCCCGCCCTCCCTGGGTTTTCACCTTGAGCAGCTCGACGCAGTCAGCACAGGCTTCTCTTAGGAGCGAACCGGACTGCTTTGAAGAGCTGCTACCGCCATCATGTCTGAGATGACTTCGATGGCCTATCATATGCCAAATGTGCCAGGCGGAAACGCCTAACTGGATTTACTATGCTGGCTCCTAGCAAAACAGCGTATTGCATGGTCGCTCGAGTGGGGCGCTCTGCACTGCACTTTGCAAGCACGCGTCATGGGCTGGGAACTCGCTGTGTCGTTTTCATGCTTTTTGCGGAGGACCCTTTCGAAGGAAACTCTAGATTAAAAAATCGACGAAGTGCTTCAAGCTTGGTTGGCCACAGAAGCCGAGAGGCCTGTGTGGCATCCAGGAAATGCACGGGAGGTGCGTCTGGCTGAAACGCGCAAAATTGGCGCTGCCCGATCCCTCCAGGTTGACTCTCACAAAAGCATTGATGG